ATGTTGCAATCGTATCGGATGTATAAAAATAATATGTAAAAATTATGGAAGCTGAGAAAAAAACGAGAGAGATGTGGTTATATTGTACAAACCAGTTTACACATAGACGCGATTACATTAGTCGCGCAATGAGTCGCAATACACTAATGGACGAGTATCGTACAATTTCGCGGTCGTATCAGAATCGAGAACCGGCCGTAATTGTATTATATCCTAGAATAATCGAAGGGATCGATTGAACATTGGAGGAGCGTTTGGACGTGCACAATACTAAATACGCTACAAACATAGCCCCGTTCGATTTGGATGGCCAGCTTCCATATACAATCGAACCGCGAGAGATAAACGATTAATCACAGCCACGTGTCCGATAACGATCGTCATTTCGACGATCTTACTGGCGATTTCAATTTACATTACGAGTGACTAACGGCCATAACCGTGACGTTGTCACGGTCACTTGTCGCGAAAGCGATAGCTCGTCATTGTTCCGGTTAGTAGATATTTAACGATCGTACATACCGTGTACACGAACACAATACGACAATTATTTAATTATATTACAAACAGAATGTACTGCAGATCTGCGCTTCGCTTATTCAGGAAAGGCACGTACTTAATGAAACGCCAACAATCGTATAAAATTCCATATTAATGTTATTTGCGAAAACAACTGGCTACGTAAATTCAAATTTCGAACAAATCCACATGTATTAACATGAGAAGAGTAAACACAAATGTATAAAAAAATCCATTAGCGTAAAAAAAAAATCCTCTTTTTTTTTTATTTCCGTGTTTCCATCTCTGAAATTTATTTCGTGATGGATTACGAAAATAGATTCGAAAAAAAATGCGAAAAACTATTAAAATTATTTCAATTAAATTTTCACTCATTTTTAATTAAATTTCAAATCATTTTTAATTAAATTTCAATGCACATACCTATTTAATTCGATCCCTTCCGTGATCGATATTATCTAATAATTGAGATATTATCGGGATAATCCTTAATACAAAATTTATACAAGACATAAAATTACAAAATATAATACATTCTATTTGTGCGACAGTATTCGCGTTTCGAAATTTATCGAAATTCTCTGTTTATCCACCACACGAAAACCACAATCGAACGCCAGCATTAATTACCACTACACGTAGCACGTAACTAATGACTCGTAGCATAATAAAGTACAATTTGCTGCAAAATTCGAATGGCCAACCGGTCTGACAGAGAATCGAATTTGTCGTAATGTATCGTATCGACGCATACAATGGTGTAACGCCCGTAACGCTTCAATGTTATAATCGTCGAGATTTACAGCGCCCCATTAGCGTACAGAGGACTCATTTCGTTTTATGCAAATACGCAAAAAGCATGCGGCGTTGCGTTTAATCACACGCACGTAGGCACACGTGTCGGTCATTTTCACGCTTTGTTCACCGTTATGTCGAATATCGAGTTCAAGCACGATTATCCCTAATCATTTGTCTGTTGACCGATTGTTTATTTTCCGTTTATTTCCTGAATAACGTAAAAGGAAAAAAGTAAGCTTGATACGCACAGAATAAAGTTAACGTTTTATCACGCAGAGATCAACTTTTATGAATTTTTGAAAATTTCGAAGGCATGAACAAATGAAAGAATTTTATACCGCAAAGGTAAAAAAGAGAAGATATTTATCGTTACAATTTTGTGCTTTTGGGCTAAAAAAAAATGAATATTTTTATAAAAAGTACATATTTATCACGTAAGAGTTGGTGTTTTATATACTTAAACTTCCTCGTTGAGTGCTTCCAGAAGAGCGAAGTTTCGCACGATGTCGGGCATTATTTCGAGTCTCCCTCTCGAATAAACAAGAGAAACTACTCGCGGCATGAGTAAGGAGGGTAAGATCCACTCTCTTTCGACGATGAAGCGAGAACTATTTTTTGCAGGGAAGAAAAAAGGCGCAGAACGCGCTATTCATCCCCCGTTCCGACCCCGCGCTTTTATCGATGCGCACGCTTCGTCTCCGCGGATTAAAAACGTACTGCCGCGCATTTAGGTCACCATGCACGTAGAGGTTTCTGCATTGTTTTTTGCACGATAGAATCGCGGTAATTTTGTTTCGAATTTCAAATATGCGACCGACCGGCGCACGTAACTGTCAAAAATTATTCGAGTTGTCGCTACTGAAAATTATTTGACGTTCGATTTCTTTTATTCCAGTAATTCCCAATTAAATTGCGCGATAATTTATAGATGTTCTTTGTCAATTTATAACTTCATTCTAAATAATTTTTTTTTTTCAATGATAACAATCTCCATATCTTAAATAGGAATTGATATACAAACTTGTGAACTTCTCAGTTCAGGAACTTTTAACTTCTTCAATTTATCTCTCAAGTTTGAGAAAAAGATTAAAAATTGATAAATATGAATTTCAAACTTTTTGTTGCCGATAGCCGCGTGACTTAAAAATTCGAATGCCGCTTTCATTAAGAGTCATTTTACTGCTTTATGTATAAAGTCATTTTGCTCCTTTCCTTTTACTTCTTGCTCCTCCATTTGTTGTAATAATTCGCAAATAAATTGATAAAGTTTTTAAAAAGTTTTTATTTGATAAAGTTAATTTGTAGTTTCATCCTGAATATCATTTTCTTAAAAAGGTAAGTTTCTGTTTTGAACAGAAATCAATGTACGAACTTTCAATAATCTCTCAACAACAATCCTAAAACTCAAGAATAAGTTTTAAAAATATTTTTAAAAAATTTTGTTAAAATAACTTTTCACGCATTTCACATTATATTTACTAATTTTTTTTTTTTGCTTAAAAATATAATAATATTTCCCTTAAAATAGCAAGGCGAACTGCTGCTTTGAAAATTCATACTGTAATTTCTAATTGAATGACAATTTAATTTATCGTTGTACATTAAAACAACTATTATAATATTAATATATAACATATTGACTATATAATATATTAACTTTATAACAGAATTCGTGCTCGTTAAAATCGACCGTGTAAATTCGAAATTAACAGATTACAAAATACTCTCTATTGAAACTGCGATGTTTACGGTTTTCCACGTTTATGTATGTATTGTACAAAGTTTGAATTCGACATGGGAAAAGTAATCGTGTCCGGACATATTTGTACGGTCGAAAACGTGCCAAATTATATTCTCGGAATTTCGGAGCGGTGCTCCACGGGTTTAATAAGCGACGAATTGCAGCGTATTCGCGAACTTATTTCTACAATCTCATTTAGCCTGCGCCGCGCATTAATGCAAAATGCGCGGGCTACGTACGAGTAGTTTCGCGTGTGTCTCGTTAAACAAAATGAATCGTGTAATTTCGGCATATTAACTTTCCTGCAGTATCATAATCCGAGAAACGACGGTACAGCCAAATGCACGCGAGAGTTTAATACCTTTATTTTAAAATCTTCACGAAAGAGAGAGAGAGAGAGAGAGAGAAATATATATCTCAATTGCTTGTCACTGCACGCAAACTAAAATTGGCCGATAAAAATGAAATAATTGAGATATTACGCTCATCGCGATTATATATAGTCACGAAATTGTACGGACAGTGCGCCAACATAGAAATTTTAACTGCTGTCCGAGCGTTGAAAATTGTAGTTTCACGCATTACGAGCACTGGTAGTTTCACAATTAATTATCCAAAATATAAACAACAGTTTGAAGGAATCATCGATATCACGGCGCACTACCTGGATAATAGTTTCGCGATTGTATTTCATCCTAAACTACTTTTTTTCGTGTACGTTCTGTTCAAAAATTAAATAGTCGGAATTTATTTAATACAATCTACTGTGTATATCTCAATGATCACTATCTATCCATTTCAGGCAATCTATAATTTGCATCAGAATTCAAAGATAGAAAGCTGTTTACAATTTTAAATACATAATAAAAAGGGTAACATAAAAAATATTTGTAGCATCAGAATACACGCATATAAGCAGTATTTAAATTATCAGAATTAATTTATTATCGTGTGTATATTTATATACAAAAATATGCATATCGTTTATTATTAAAATACATATAGAACAAATAAAAATATCTCTATTCAATTATTACAATTACTAATTATCCTATATATATTTATAAACAAAATGCAATAAATGCATTATCAGAATGTATGTACATAAATATATTTATCAAACTATATGTAGCATATAATAAATATAATTTTATCCAACGCAAATTATAGATCGTCTAAATTAAACCTGATATAAATGGAACTTCAGATTTCGCTTCGACGAAAAATAGGTCTCGATTCTTTCTTTTTTTTTCCTATCTCTTTCTCTTTCAGCAGCTGCACTGATCTCTCGCCATCAGCTGTCACGTGAGTTCAGCCTGACGTAATCTCTGCCACGAGAGATAAACAATAAACGTGGTGTAGTCGGACACAACGCAGCGATACTCACCTTTTATCGCAGCGTCCGTAGTCGATCTTCGATGACCGCGTCACCGTTTCCCTGCCTCCGCGATGTGGACGACATGCAGCATCTGGGATACCAGTGGTGCGAGTGGAGCAAAACGGAGGGACACAACCACGGCGTTACATCCCGAGCGCGCGAGATGAACGCGCCGACGTCGCGTCGTACTGTTTGTCAATTTGGCGCTCACGGACGTGCATTCGGGATCGAACGAGCGAGCGAGCGAGCGAGCGAGCGAACGAACGAACGAACGTAACGAATAAACGAACGAAAGTAAACACGGTCAGTCGGAGGGACAGACGGACAGCCACGTGATCGCGTCGCATCGGATCGGGTGGCGTCGTGTCTGTTCGTGCAGCTTCCAACAGCCGGCCTTGTCGCGAGGATGGCCGAGGCCACGTTGATTCGGGCGCGCCGCTCCCGAATTCGCGCTTGTATGTGTCTTTTCCTCCCCTTTCTCGTCGTTTTGTTCTTATCGAATTATCGGCGCAACCAGCAGCCCATCGACGAATCGCGGTCGTCGCGGCGGGCGTGGATAACGTCGCTCGCCAGACGACGACGACGGCGATCGCTTGTCGTAGGGCGAGAGGGGCGCGGAGCTACTCCGACGATCTCCGCTGCGGAGGACATCTCGTCGCGAAACTGTCGCAGCGCGACCACGAGCGAACGTCATCGTTCGCGATGGAGCCGACGGAAACGCGGCGCGCTGATTGGCGGAACCACTCGCGAGCCGTCCGGTTAACATGTCGGTCACGTGGCGACATCTAACAGCGTTGCTAAATTGTTCGTATCAAAGGCGGAGAAGACTTGCTCTTCGTGGTAAATTCGATCTCAAGGAAGAATATGTTGTGCAGCGTTTATGTGTAAATATACTGCGTGTATGCAACGTAAACTATGTAAATATATTTTAATATATGTTTTAAAATATGTTTTACATGTATACATTCATAATAAATGTTTATGAATATATATATAGGGAAATAAATACGTAATGAATAATAAATAATATACAATAAAGAGGAAAACTTCTTATTATGAGATAGGCGCCTAATATGAGATAGTGGCGTTTCTACTAAACTAATAGACACTATCTATTAGTTCTATCATGAATTTATTACTCTTGGATTTGAAAACTATTTAGTAGAAAATTCATTATTAGATCATGCCTGTAGTTGTAAAAAAAGATTTTAGAATTTGAATTATTTTTTACATATAATAATATTTACATATATAATAGATATATATATAGATATATATATAATACATAATATTAAATCGAAATATTTTTATATGTCCTATTTTTATGCATTTTAATAATAAATAATCTATGGATGAATTGAAATCTATTAACAGATTAAGGGAATATTTTACTTATTTTACTTTATAAGGTCAAAAAAGTCGATTTTTTTTCCATAAATCGATAGTACTAGTAACTCTTCGAGAATATGTCTCTAAAATTTGGCGAGACGCCAAACTAGATGTTTATATTTTTATTATTTACAATACTTTTTTTTAAATAAAAAACAAAAATTTGTACGCATTATACAATAATTATATTAAAATGTACAAAAAGTTTTAAGATGATAAATATTAATCTTCCTTTTGAAAAAATTACGAAAAATCTCCTTTTTTTTGGTCTCCTCTTTAAAGTAGAAGTTCCTTAATGTCGTGAAATTCTCTGAATACTTTATTATATAGTTAGATGAAACATATATTTTATTATTCGAAATATTGCAGTTTAATATGCATCAGTGCACTAATGCATTCAATCGAGTTCGAATGTGTCCTTATCATTGCACTAAAGCATAAAACTTCTATCTCATTTATATATTTATATTTTTATTTATCAATACTAAAATCAAATATTAAAACAATGATAAAACAAAATTACTTCTTTCTATATTATGTTATTTAATGTGAAATAATTTACATATTTTATATATATGGCTTGTATTGTCTATATGAAAAAAAAATCGTATAAATTTAACATAAACAATAATAAAAATTTCATATAAATGTAATCTTGTTGAAATATACGGCAAAACTCTGCGTAAATTTTTATAATTATGTCATTTGATCATTCTTATTCTTTAAGATACAGCGGAGTATATCTGACATGTTTTTCGAGATAAACTTGGAAGAAGCGCAGAGTAATTCGCAGATGAAGCTGTGGTTCACCAGGCGGTGAGCTAAAACGAGGTCTTTTGCGTCATTCAACTCCTCGTCTCTTAACTCATCATATACGCGTGCTATTCCTTCGCAAAGACTCAAAGTGGTATGGAAGAGATCTGCTTGTGACGCAAGCCACGGCAGACAAGTAGATAAAACCGTCTAAAAAAAGGACACATTTAACTTTTAGAGGAGGTCCATTTTTTTAATCTTACTGCTTTTCCTTGAATAAAATTTTTTTTTACATGTTTATTATTTTATTATATTTCTTGCCTCAAAATATGAAACTGTTTCAGCACTACTTTAATGGCTTTTCTGATTTATAAAAGTCATACGGGATCATTTAATAAACTAGATAAAAATCAGAAGTCATATTTACATTACAGTATCGGCTACATTTACATTTCCAACTAAAATTGTATTTCTCATTCATTTTTACTTTTCTAACTTAATTCTAATATTTAAAATAAATGAAAAATTTCCTTTTCCTTTGAATAAACCCTTGCTCGTAATTTTTTTTATTCGCGGGACCAAAAGATTTACCATGCAAACATCCCGCGGCAGCCAAAAGATCACTTTTTCGTCCTGCTGTATTTTTGTATGGTCTTCGAGCGTTTCGTCTTCGATTGACAAAAGAGTGTGCTTGTGTTCGTATTCGTCACTGATCGTCGATGAATTTTCTGTAACTAGATGTTCTGCTATCACTTCCGGCAAAAGCTCAGGATCTACCTCGTTCTGTCCATTCAACTGTTGGATTTTTACCTGTTGGCGTTTCGACCTTAAGTCATGATTTGGGGATTTCTCCAACAAAACAACAGTCTCTATCGTTTTGTTTATTATATCATTCATAATTTCTTGTACTATCTGGAACCGAATATATCGCTATTTATATTATAGGAATTAAAGTTATTTTTTTTAATGATTTTTAAAAGAAAATATAATTCATAATCAAATATCATTTTATTTCCCATTTTTCAATATATAAATATAGAACTTTTGTACTAAACCCACAAATAATTTCTTATAAATATTTTGTTATAAAATTACTTATTCAAATATTTAAAATATTCTGTTTTAATCCAAAACAATTTATCCTATATATTTATAGTATTATATAATTATACTAAAAAATATTATATTTATAGTTAAAAATGTCTACGTTAATTTAACTTCAATATAGAGTGCAAAGATTCCATAAGGAATCATTATCTTGTCTTTTCTTTCTCTCTTACAGTTTATTTTATTTGTGTCTAATGATTCTCTCTCTCTCTCTCTCTCTCTCTCTCTCTCTCTCACTATACTTTATTTATTTCATCGCAAACGTAATAATCATCGATTGCAAATGATATTGACTTCGTAAGTCAGTATTAGTGTGAGTTTCAAGTTACCTCGTTAACCTCTTCTCGAAGATAATTCTGCCCCAATTTCAACTCCTTAACACGGCGCTTCTGCTCTTCGACGTATTTCTCACCTTCCACTGTATCAGTACAAACTCTAGCACCCATGGCAAGGGAGAACGCTTTTCCTAGTCCCACACTAGGATTCTCGTTCTTGCAGAAAGCTAGCAGCATGGTGGTATAATGAACCGAGTCTCGGTTTACCAGATACATGCGGCAAAGAAGTTGCTTTGCCAGCATCAGCCTCAATGTTGTGCTGCGAAAGCAATTTAATTGAAAAATTTATTGAAAAAGAGAAGTGTAAGAATTGATTTTTTTAAAAAGCATTGTTCAGAAAGTTTTTTAATCAAAAATGTTTAATGGAAGGTATAATTAATTGAAAGTGATTAATCGAATCGTTCATGAATGAAAAATTAAAATAGATTTAAAAAAAAACCTACAAATCAAATCAAAATTTTTAATAAAGAATGTTTTAACGAATTGTTTTCGAACGGATTTAATCCCTTTTAATTTTCTACTTCATAAATTTTTATTTCGTTTAATTTGTGTTTTCCATATACCTAGAATCATCCTCGCTTCTTTCTATGAAATCGTTCCCCAAACTCGAAAAATGCTCGCCTAATTGTGCTTCCTTACGCAACATTATATTTTCTAATGAATCGAAGTTACTGTGCTCAAGTTTTTCATCCAAGAAATTCTTATAAAGGGTGGAAATTTCGAGAAACCACAAGGATATCGAATGGAATTGTTCGCATGTGACTACCTCTTTCGATTCAGAATCATGTATCTTGAAGGCTGCTCGTGCTTTCAGAATATCCTGATGCGATGGCACAGGCAGATCCATTGCATACAGGACAAATTCTCGCCATTCGATATATTCGGTGGAGCCGAACAATCGTTCGACCAATATTTCGATATCCGGAGGTCGCAATTGTCGCCAGGCGCATGGCACGAAGGGCGGATAACAATCCTCTATGCCGCAGGATACCAAATCCTGGAGAACGTAAACTAGGACGCGTTCACTGACGATTCCATGCGGAGCAATTCGTTGGAAAATGTCTACCAACCGACCAAGTTGAACCATTCGGAATCGTAGAGGTGAAGGCGCTTCTCTGATCGGAACATTGAATTGTTCGTGATCTGTACTTACGATGTTTGATCTCACGACAAATCGATCGCCGTCTAATAGTAGTTCTTCCTGAATTGGTCTTTCTTCTTCGATGGCAAAGCAAAAGACGTTCGCCATTTCGTCGATACTTTCGATTTCACGTTTGTATCTAAAAATATACGTGATTATGTACATTATATATCTAATTTTTAAAAGGCAATATTATTAAGGCATAACTGATGTTAATTAAAAATAATTAAATATATAAGAATCTATTTTTTAAATATATATATCTAAATAATATTTTCGTTTACAAAGTATTTGTAGAAAGCTTCATGATGTTTTAACATTTAAAAATTAAATTATACTCTTCAACTTGCAATTAAATGAGTAAATAATTGATTCTAATAAAATAATTTATTTATATTTTCTATATCATATATTTCCATAAAACTAATTTAATGTATTCGTTTTGCGATCTCTTTAACTTGCTAAATAAAAGACTAATGCGATAACTAATTTTAACTAAATCAACCTTTCGATGATATGGTGATGAATGCGATGGAAGGTCTGTTTCATAATATCTAGAAAAAAAGTCACGTCTGATCGAGCAGCCGCATTCAGCACATCCAATCTCTGATATATACGATCGATCTCGAACAAAACGGCGTATCGCCATTCCTCGACTAAATCATGATGTCTTCTAGTTAGTTTGGCGAGTGTAGAATCGGCCAAACTGTCTCCTTTGCTTTTAATTTCGGTTTTTAAAATTACGGCTTTCTCTTCCTTCTTCAATGTATCCAGCATCAGTGACGAGATGGAATCTACGGTACCTCGCACTTTTCGAATATTATCTTTGATAATATTATAAATGATATTCTGATCAGAATCAAAGCTCTTCGATACGTCGATTAATAAAGTTTCGATTTCAGTCTTAAACTGATCCTTATTTATGATTCGAGCGGAAGTTGCGATTGATTTGATCTTTGTCATTTGTTCTTCATCCAAGATTTCTTGAAGAACATCCTCCAATTCGATATTATCAAGGACGATTTTAGAGAATCGCGATTCTTGCAGTGGTTTCTGCAACATGGAGGTGTAATAATCCTGAAGAAGCTGCATAGTATCTACGAATCTGTCAACTTCGGTTTGCAAAATTCCAATATACACATTAACGAGAACCACGGTTTCCATCAAAATCCACTGATTGCGCAACGTACGTTTTCTCTCTTCTTCAGCCTCGTATCTTCGCGCGTCACACAGCTCCCACAACTCTTTTTGAAAATCATCGACCTAGTGCGAAAAATTTAAGACTTTTAACAACGAAAAGAGTAATAAATGTAATTCTTTCTACATCCTGTCAAAATGAAAAAAATTTTATATTGAAATTAAATTAGGATTAGATATTAACCTTTACAGGATAGAAAAGCCATTATATTGGCATTGAAACAGTGTCATATTTTGAAGCAAGAAATACAATGAAAAATAATGAATTATAACAAATCTTACCAAAGAAAATTTAAGCTGTAAGATTTCAAAAATAAACTTTGCCCTTTGAAAATTAATATGAATAAAAGTTTATAGATTATAGCAAATTCTCTTTTTCCTCACTTCTTTACTATATTATTATTTTCTATGTGTACCCGACAGTGTAACTCGCATTTCATGTCCAAATCTTTCCTGAGATCGTCATCGATTTCATTAAAGGCCTGTTGAAAATCTTTTAATAAAATCTGCCTTTTATCAGGTCGATCGATGAATCTCATTAAATTCCTGAAGACAAGTTTCTTATAGGGTATAATGGCTGACATATGCATCCTCTTCAAGGAAAGAATCTCTTTCAAATTTTCAATGTAAGCCTGTTCAACGCTCTCCCAAAGTGTAGCCAAAATTTTGAGTAAAGCTGTAGACTGAGAGAAGTCCAGCCATTGCCAGTTGCTTTCCCCAGGTTTAGCGTAATCTTTTCCTAACTGTGTTTCAATTTCTGATTGTAAATTGCGGCTTTCAGCTTCGATAGCTTCCTTTTCTTCACATTCTGAGGGTTTCCATTTGGATTTTGGTATCAAGCGTTTAATAACGGCCGTTTTCGAATTAATAGCAAATTGATTTTGTTTATTATGATCTGCTTGTAGAATCTTTTCGGAAAGTTTCGAGGGTAATTTCTTTCCATAAAAATGATCGATAATAAGTTCGGCTAATTGTTCCAAGATTGAAAGATCGAGATTTTTGTAAAAAAATCCATATGCAATATCTTGATTAGCATAAAATTCGTCCATCGAGGTAGCATTGTCGGGTAGAGGTATACAAGTCTGTTCTTGACTGTCTATTGCATTTGACTTTGGCATTGCCTTAATATAAATTGTCATGAACGTCATAGAAGAAATATAATCTTTTGCTGTGGAAATTGGGTTCGGCAACAATCTAGATTGCCTATTAAAAGAACATTAATATTTAGAAAATCCGTATATAACGCAATTATTAATTTAATAATTCATTAAATGAGCTTTAATCCTTTCAGATCTGATTTTTTATTGGAACTATGTTAAAAAAATTTATTTTAATTCAGTTCACACATACTTAAATTTAAATAAATAATTTATACTAAACAATTAAGTTTTTTCAAAATTTTAACTATTTTTCCAACATATAGCTTTTTATATACATTATTATATACATCAGATCTCAGATATCGATAGAATTAAATAATTTCAATGGATAATGTCTTCAAATTGGATGTACGCTGAGTCTGAAGGGATTAATTGAAAATAATAAGCGAAATCGAATTAACTCTCCAATATGTAAAATTTAGAAACAATGACCTGTTCATTCAGAATGCTCTCTTTTTATGTTCGAAATTTTATAGTGTACGAACGTAAACTATATACGCTAAATACGCGCAAACATTGTTTTAAAACGAGGGGAAAGGCAATAAATAAATCTGAACATATGAATAATATCAGTAATATTAAGTATCTTTTCAGAATCTATATAACTTATAAAATTACAAATTAATTTTGACATTAAACACGCCTGTATATAGCGAATGTGTCATCCTCGAACACAATTCTGACTGATGGAAGATCGATGTTTTCGACGTTGACATCAGTAAGTTTGACAGGATCGGGAGGTATCTCACGTCCTGTCAGTGCTTTCTCCAACATCGCCATCTGTTCATAGGTGTTAGGATAATTTAATAATGCCCATCCTTCGACATCTCCGATTCCTTTTAAGTACTCAATCAGTATCTTCGTATTCAATTCGTTCGAAATAGGTTGACCCAACGTGAGGAACTCGTAAGTCCATTTGCCTAAATATCACAGGTAGCAATCAAATAGCAGTCATTGCTATTCTGCGATCTACAATAAGTACATCTTTGGTAATTAGATTTGTAATGTCTATTATATCTATTATTAAAAAATTAATTCTCAATACAATATCTTTAATAAACTGTATTTATACAAGTCATTTATCAAACATGGCATCAATAATGTTGTAAATCGCGCCTTTAGAGTTGATAACAAAATTATTTTATTAAACACCACATTACAAGAACAACACACTGTAATATGGCATATCCACCTAATTTGGTTCTTTATAACTTTCATAGAAACGGTTATATTGTAATTTTTTTTTCAATTGAACCGTCAGACATTAAGAAACATAATGGAACTAAACAAATGTATTAATATGTATCTTTATTAATAAAAAAAGTTGTAAGCGATAAGAAAAGCATTTAAAAGAGAAAGCCGAATATGCTATATCAAAAAGAAGTTTAAGAATTATAATTATGACTTAAACTGTTCTCCTAAATTTTTCTACCTATGTACGCGGTATCGCTTAAAATCGGGTTCATATCGTCATAAGGTATCTGTCTAGGCGTTTGCGTTTGTTTTTCTTCAGGTGAAACGTTCTGGTGAAACGGTGTCGACTTCGCTGATCGTTCAATCTTCTTTGGATGACGCTCCCTTGAGTCATTCTTGCTCTTAGTTTCCAATCTCTTGATGTCTCTCTCCGTCGTCGAGATGATGTTGAGATCGATGTACTCCACATCGGTCATTTCCCGCTTGTAGCTCTCCAGACAATGATTGATCGCATCTTCCATCGTCAGCAAACGAATTCCAGTATTCTTCAGCAACTTTTGTAACTGTCTGTGCAAGGTTGCATTTGTCACACCCAAAATAATGGCTGCGACCTTGACTCTAGGCACTGGACAATCCATTATTTTAGCCGAATAAGGATATAAGATCTCCAATAAGCGATGAACGATGTAACCAAGCACAACGCAACCTAATCTGTAAACTTCTTCAACTTCCTTTTCTCTCTTCGGCACAAATTGATCCCAGGGCGAAGCTAGATCCCGATAATTCTCAAAGTCTATATCAGTCAAAGACTGCTGACGTTCCAGCTGAAGTAACTTTTGATTTTCTTCAACCTTTATTCCCCATTATTTTCTCTTGCACCGTTCTTCTCTTCATCTTCATTCATTTTCATATCTTTTTCACTTTCTATTTCTTCTATATTTTCTGCTTCTTCGACATCATCAAAGTAATCCATATATTCGAATATTGGTTGGCTCTTCAAAAATAACATTTTCCATTCGTTCCAAATAGAATTTGGGATATGATTACCATTTGCTTGACGATAATCAGCAAGTTTCACCGCGATATCCACGAAATCGTTCATAATTTCTAAACAGATATCTTGATGTTTTTCTTTCATCCTGCGTATCTTTAAAAACATTTTACATTTTACATCAGCACCTTATAATGAAAATTATTTATACATTATGAAAATATATTATTATTTTTTATGTATTAATAATTTAAATTCATTACAATCTCTCTCTCTCTCTCTCTCTCCCTCTCTCTCTCTCTCTCTCTCTCTCTCTCTCTCTCTCGCTCTCTCTCGTTTATGCGTTTTTTAATTCAGCTTATATATTTGCTTACATATATGTAACTTATAAATATTATTATCAATGTTCAAAATATTGAATTTTATATGATGTCTTTTACTTATATATTATCTTTCTCAGTTTTTCTAGCTTTCTTCTATTTTCAAATTGATTATTTCTCTATTCTATCTCATTTAATTTCACTTAATATTGTCAATATTTTACAATTATTTTCTGTAACCATTGCTTATATATTTTTCTTCTTCTTCTTCTTAAAAGAAGAGATTCATAATAAAATATTATTACACTACTCACCTTTTCTTCGCGAATTCTCTGTTGCAGTTCGCACATTCTACTGATCTCCATTTCCACATCTTCTCTCTCTTCCTTTATTGTTTCTTCATCTTGATAATATTGTTTAAATCGTAGTTCGTCATGTTTAGCCTTCAGCAACATTGTATCAACTATCTTACGAGTCTCCACAATTTTACTTCTTAAGTTTCGCACCTCACACAGCTTCCTCAACATCTGTTTCTCATAACGCGACTGATCCAGCACTCGTCTTCCGAGAGCTTCGTCGAAGAATTTGTCCTGTTTCCTCAGTAATCGTTCCCAAGCCTCTGCCATCATCATTGTTTGTGTTTTCAGTTTCAATTTGTGACATTCAGCCATTTTCTTGCTACGCTTCTTCAAGAAGTCGATATATTCCGCAGCAGCTGTAGGATCTTCGATACAAGACATATCCAAGATTCTTTTCGAAGGACAACACTCGACTTGATATTTTTTCTTCGTCTTACAAACCGGATGTTTGCGAGTGAATTCGTCCAATATTTCGCTCTCTTTCTGTTTTTTATCCGGCAACTTTTCTGGAATAAAGTGCTCAATCGGCTGTATCACTGGATACTCCATGAGGGCTTCAAATCGCTCTCGTTCTTGTCTACAGGCTTTCGTGATAGCCCAAAACTTATTTCTGTGCCAGAGGACGGTATCGGCTGCCTTGATCAATGGTGTTGATAGAGGGTGTTCAGATGATATGTAAGACGGTAGATGTTCAGGTACTTTGGAGACGTCGAATCTACTATTCATGTACTTTTGCTTTTTCTGAAGAGCAATAAAATGCAGTCGGTCCTTGCCTTCGAGGCTCAAATATACTTTGTAGAACAGCTGGAGAGACGCAGCACCTTTATCCTAAAGTGTCGTTCTTATACAAATCACTTTACAATATAATGTCTAGTATCTTCATAAAAAGATATGTAAATTAATAGAAATTTGTCTACAATAAAAATAATACTTGTTTTTAATATAGCTTTTTTTCAAATAATAACATTTACTTTAGAAAACTTGAAATCGAAACTAAAAAGTTTTCGATTTGAAAAATTATTTAAATGTTTTTTTTTTCCTTATCCTGTTTAATTTTTTAAATCTATTTATTGTACTACTTCTTTTGCAAGGATACTTTAGAGATGTCATTAATGCACTTCTCGCTCAGCGTGACATTGATCAGCTTTAGCCAGATTTGTAAGGTCCTCAGGTTCACCCTGGACAAGGCAGGATCTCGTGTAGGAGCAATGGTGCTTAGTTGATCGCTATTGATTATATCATAGCTATGCAGAATCTGGGCCAGTAGTGTGCCATCTCTCGTGTACCGACCAAACGTCTCCGGCGTGAGATCCATGATCGTACCTAGTCTTGTACGCAGCCATTCCTTCAACGTATCGGCCATTTGTGGGAATTTAGTGAGTTTATACAATTTCGAACGTCTTGGGTCCAAAAGTCGTGCTTTCGACGTTGATGACGTGATCCAGACATTGCGACTTGACAACTGTAATTGTACGAAATTAGCATCGTATACACAATGCCGTCTGAGAATTGAATGTCAAATTTCTCATGGTGGAATCTGATTCCACCACGCCTCTAAAAAAAAACCAACATGACCAAAATGTGTCCCCTTCGAAACCCTTCCACTTTTTTATTTGAAACGTTTTTTTATATCATCAAAAATAAGTGAGATATTTCAGATGATCGATTTAAGTGGATCTCTGTATACATAGATTTTGTAAAGATAACAGAGATTTGGTAAAGAGAGCCTTGAAGCCTGTCAGACTATCGATTCTGCAGACAAACTCGATTGCCAATTGAAAACCGACTTAATTACAATGAACAAAAAGCTGACTGACTGTGATTAATTCACTATGGATTGACAGTCAGAATTATAGCGGAAATATTCCACCATGGTCAGAATTGGCAGTCAAACAATTTGCAAAGTCAATCTGATATGGAGGATACTAAAATAAATAACACCGATGGAATCCGGTCGTCTACTATTCAATAGGACTTACCCACATACAATTTAAGTGTCATCGACACATCATTACATACTACATCAATATTTCACGTACAAATACACATAAATTTTTGTAAAATAATAACGTGTAGAATTAGATACGTAAATCTAATTCCAAAAACATGATGATAATTTATAATGTATTCTACTAGTTAACCCCTAACTTTGTAAATTGTAAGTACAGATTGCAGAACTTATTCCGAATCTGCCTTGTATAACTTTTATTTTCTTGCTTTAATTTGATTTTTGAGTTAAAATTTAAAAATTCTGGTCACTAATTAACTTTTTATATTTACAAAGTTATATTGCAGAACTTATTCTAAATATACCTTGTATAACTTTTATTTTCTTCCTTTAATTTGATTTTTGAGTTAAAATTTAAAAATTCTGGTCACTAATTAACATTTTATATTACAAAGTTATATAAGTCAATAAAGTTTTATATATATATGTGTGTGTGTGTGTGTGTGTGTGTGTGTGTGTGTGTGTGTGTGTGTGTATAAATTTTATTTTATTGAATAGTTACATTTAACACAAAAAATATACTCTCTATTTTTACAGAATCATCATCTTTTTTGAAAAGTGTAAAACTTTTTTCATGTGATTCAAGAATGATAAGACCAAGATTTTTAACGTTGAAAAAACATTCATACATCAACATTTAATAATGCAACGTTCTGTGCTAAAATTACAAAATATATATATATATAAATATGAAATAATATGAATAAAAAATGTGTGTATGTGTGTGTGTGTGTGTGTGTGTGTGTGTGTGTATATATATATATTACAACATTTTACAATTGACGGCAAGTGAGATTCAAGCTGTACAGCTCTACTTATATTACTTATATTTTTTAAAAATGATTAAAAACTTTCTTGTTTTTCTTACATAGTAATACAATTTTGGCTTTAATTGAATATCACTTATCATCAATAGTTTATCTATTAGTACTATACGGAGAGCCGCCACTGATACTCGTATATATCATATAATAGAGCACTTTTGTGCAAACAAGATTTTGCCGCTCATCTTAGTATTTCTATTTTTTAATTTTTTAAATAAGCTATTTAAAAGCTTTACAAGCTATTTAAAAGCTTTTTTCACACATATATTTTGTAACTTTAGCGCAGAACTGACAGAACGTTGTTGAGAGATTGCGTTGTTAAATGTTGATGTACTTATAAATGTTTTTTCAACGTTGTAAATCTTTATGTTATCATTTCTGAATCACGTGAAAAGAGTACATTTTACACTTTTTAGAAAAGACGGAGTCTGAAGAAAGAGAGGGTATATTTTTTTGTGTTAAATGTAGCTATTCAATAAAATGAAATTTCTAGAATGTAAACATGAAACAAAATTAAGAGTTATTAGACACGACTATGCGCTATCATTATGTAATTTTATAATTAATAGTTTAAGTAAATTTCTTTGTACTGAATAGGATCATTGTACTTGAATAGGATCTTAATCGTAAACGTTTTAATATTCACTTTGAATAAATGGTATAAAATACACACGAATAACCAGTGTTGGCTCAAATTGGCATTTTATTATTTTTTTAGATTTTTCTTTAGAACCTATTGATTATTTTGACTATAAAATAAATTATGATTGTGTTTATAAAAAATAAATTACAATTTTTTTAACATAAAAGTATTCTCAGAGACTATTTATTTCCGGACCCATATTTATATAGCTTTTTTCCTTCTTTTTAGGTCCCGAATCACTTCCTGAAGTATTGCGGGCGATTTTCCGGACATTCTGTATAAAATTTCGATTGGAAGCAATGGTTATTTGGAACCCAATTATTTACAAAATAGCTTATTTAAAATGTTAATAAATAAATATTAGGAGAGGTGGCAAAATCCACAAAAACACCTTATTATATGACATCGGAAGCGGTCACTTACTTTCGGTAAGTGACGTCATGTACGCGGAAAAGAAAATATTTCTTCAAAATATAAATTATATTGCATGGTAATATTGTATTTTTTTCAGGATATTATTGGTTTATTAAGGCCATCACACGTACAAAGATTTTAGTCTTAACATTTTAAAACGCTTTTATTTTAACTCTCAACTGTGATTGACCAATTTGCTTACCTTATCATGAACATATTTTTAAATAAAAATTTTCGATTTTTGTTCGATTCAGCTAGGATATGTTGGAGGCATTTTTCTGATGCATGCTTTACGATGCCCTTACAATAACAATTACTGGGTATTCGCCAAAAGTGAGAAAGTTACGTCCCGATGCTATGCCAACGTTACATCTTTATGCAGTATTCTCGCCAGCATCAAATGAAGATTCGTCAGCTGTGGAGATGTTCGATGAAGTAACGATTCTGCCAGCATTGAATAAAGATTCGTCAGCTCTGGAGACGTTCGACGAAATAACGGGGTCCGCCAATATCGAACGAAAAAATTACATCTTCAGACAAAAGCTGTTATGTCTTTAAAAATGCAAGTTATAAATTATATTCAATTATATCATATTATTATTGCAATAACATTGAAATACTATAATCTTACTATAATATTACATGCTGTATAGATAATTGATATAATTAAATATAATTTATAACTTGCAATGCAATATTATGTAAATATTACTGAGATATTACATTGCGATATATTACAATATAATATTGCAATAATTTTATTGCGATATTAAAATAAATAATAAGTAAAGAGAAATAATAATAAAAAATAAATATATACATTTATAAAATAAAATAGAATGAAAACAGTTATAAAAGTACATGAAAGTTATCTTAATTCCATATTCTTTATTCCTTATTTTCTATTCCTTATCTCTTATTCCTTATCATTACACATTACACTTTTGACGTCTGGAACTCCAAATAGCAACACTAAAGGAGACAATAGACAGGCATTGAGGAGAAAGCGAAATCAAAAGAAAATAAAGAATT